CTTGATGGGCCGAATGGCCTCCTCTCGTTTGTAAATTTCTTATGTTCTTATGGTGAGAGGGAGGCCTTGGCATCGATCTGACCCTGGATAAAAGGCAGAAAATGGATGGATGGATGGATGAGGGGGGACTAACTCCATATTGATGCCTATGGATTTAAAATGGGATGTCATAAAATTTCCAGTAGGTGTAATGACCAGGTGTCCTAATACTTTTGCCCCCCCGAAGAGCAAGATGGGGAAAGAAGAAATTCAATTTACCTATACTTGTACAAATGGCAAATAAAGCTTAATTTCATTTTATTTTCACTGAACACGTAAGATATCTTTTACATTAAAAACTTTCGAACTATGTACATGTATAAATGTGACACAAATTGCCATAAATTGTTTGTAGGAATCAGTAATGAAATAAAGCATTGACTCCTTTATTTTTCATCACATAAATAAATTCATACTCTTCATCACCAAAATACATTTTAAAAAGCCTCGACACTAAAACACAGCCTCGTTAAAATACAATTAAACAGCATGCTGTTTAAAACCTCTCATATTGTGACGCAGGGAAGTAACTTCTTTCAGAACTAAAACATTACATATTGTGGCGTCAGGTGGACAAAGACATCACGAGAGCAGAGAGAGACACAGAGGCTCGCTTGCTGGGTAGAACACGTTCTTTATTGGCAGTCCTTAAAAGGACTACATCAGGCACCCAACAAGCACTGAACCAATTACACACAGCAGAGACATAAGGTTGTCAGACGCTGAACTGCAAGATGCACACATGGTGAGAGATTTACGTAAGCCAGAGTCCTACACGGGTCCAGTTTTGGAGACCTGCACCCGCACAGTACAGCACCACACCCGCCCGTGCACCCGTGATTATTTTAAAGTTAAATCCGTAACCGCCCGGGCCCGTTAACATTCCACCCGTTACCCGCCCGTACCCGTGATAAATTACACACAATAATTTTTTCTATGCACCTCTCAATGTGACAAGCGCTAGACCTACATGAATTTTGAATTGAAACGAAAAAGTCTGTTTAACACAAAATCACATCAGATAGATCAAAGCTATCCATACTGTGACGAGCGTGAAAGAGAGAACACGACGACACACTTCAGCAAGGATTCAGACGTGTATGTGAATGTTTGTCGAGGCGGTTATCTAATGGTGCGTTCGTTTTTCTCTCGGAATTCAGAAATTGAGTTGAGTGCGACACGTCCGACAATCTCCCGTTCGAGGTACCACATCTTGGATCAAACATGGCTGCCTCCATGAACACGCTGCTGTGTGTTGTTGCTATTTTAGCAGATTTGGAGTGAGATTATTTTTTCCAAGAGGCAAAAAACTACAAACAAACCAAAGACACTAAAAATCTGATATTGCATGATAGGATACTGTTTACGGTCATGATATGGTATTCTCTAAATCGAACACGTGCAGTTACATTTATAACTATTAATACATTTAACAAAATAAACATTTTTAAAGATTTATAAAATAGAATTACTGTTCAGTGTATAAGCCGCCATGTTGAAATTACATCACAGGGGCAACTTGGACAACATCAACGTCATAAGAGGCGTGTTTCCGACGGTAAGTGACGTTTTTCATGACGTTTCGTGACGTTTTCATCTGAGTTCCGACTTGGAGAGAAATAATCGAAAGCACCATAAGGTACCCCCGGCATAGGCTACTGAACACACTGTGATGATGACAATTTGTACATGATAGTCTAATACATAGATATTTTCACTTATATGTTATTTTTGCAGGCTACAATACTGTTTTGATTGACCTGCTACCCGCCCGCATACCCGCACGTAAATTAATTAATTAATTAATTGATAATTGATCCCCGTGGGGAAATTGTTTTTACGCCTCCCTCAACTTGCTCTTTGTAGAGCAAGCTGTCCGCGAAGGGCAGCCACCTGTAGCACCTGTAGTAAAATTCCAGAACATTAAAATCTGCCCGTTTCAGCAACTATCTGCGGGTACCCAGATACCCGACCCGGTGCAGGACTCTGACGTAAGCTAATTACACATGAGGATCGGACCAGGTACACACAAGATACGGGCAAACACACGCGCGACAATAAGGAAATGCAACTATTAACAATAACACCGCCGGTGCTACAATATAATACAGTGAAATATGGGAGTGGTGTTTCATATGGTGTACGTTTTCAGCGTAAGATAATACTTTATTGATCCCAAAGAGGGAAATGTGTTTGTTACAACAGCCAAACAGAAATAAATAGCAATAGAAAAACACTAACAATATAAATAATTATTAAAAATATGAAATTATGAACTGTGTACACAATTACACATATTGCACACATACTGTGGTTATTGCATAGATGTAATGGACATTCATGCGTAGTCACATTCCATACCTAATAATGGTACAGGACAGAAACTTTAGTTGACTTGGATATAAATTTATAGGTATTGCACCCAGTAAATATAAATATAGAAGTTACACATATGCAGTGTATATTGCACAAATGTAAAGAACATTCGTATGCATTGCACATTCAGATGGAGAAATCAATGGACTTTAGTTGACTGTGGTGTTATAGAGTCCAATGGCAAATGAAATGAAGCACCTGTGGAAGTGTTCCTTCTTACATTTTGGGTCTGTTGTCGAAGGAGCTCCATAACACTCGTTTGGACTCCACGTCCTCAGTGGAGTCCAAAGAGCAGCCCAGGACAGAGTCAGCACTCCTGGCCAACTTGTTCAATCTCTTCCTGTCCCTCTCTGAGCCTCAGCAGCCCCAGTAGACTACTGCGTAGAATATTACACATGCTACAACTATATCATATAATGTCCTTAACAGTGTCATGCACACACCGAAGGACCTGTCTTCTCAGTAGGTGGAGAAAACTTTGGCCCTTCTTGTACAGGGTACATGTATTGTGTGACCAGTCCAGATTGCTATCGAGGGGAATACCCAGGTATTTGTAGGCTGACACAACCTTTACCTTCACTCCAACATAAAATGTTTGGAACTTTTCTTTCAGCTCAGCCCTGGACATGCAGCCCCCAAACCAAGCAGCAGTCATTCACACACACGCCTTATGAAGAAAACTCCTACCATCTTGGTCAGTGTCTGAATGGAATTCAAACCCCTAGATTTTATGACACTCCAGCAGAAAGCAGATTCACCAACTGAGCAGAGTGATTCTCATTAGAATTCTTGTTATTTCCAGTACAGTTATATCATGGCGGGGGAGGAAGCCGGCCAGGCCTGGCAGGCCCAAGCGTATAGTGAGGGTCTGCTGGGAACGTCTGGCAGAATCCCCCTGCCGGACGGCTTCGAGGCGATTCTGGTCCACCAGAACGGCTCCAGGCGGGAAAGCAGTGCAACAGGGAGAACATTTCAAACTGGATTTAAGGAAGCACTTCTTTACACGGCATGTAGTCAGAGTATGGAATAGTCTTCCTGATAATGTAGTGCAAGCTGAATCCTTGGGTTCCTTTAAATCAGAGCTAGATAAGATTTTAACAACTCTGAGCTATTAGTTAAGTTCTCCCCAAGCGAGCTCGATGAGCCGAATGGCCTCCTCTCGTTTGTATAGTTCTTATGTTCTTAACATCAACACTGTTTATGGTGGGGATGGGGTGCTGCTGACCTCAACTCGGGACATTTTGGGTCGGTGTAGGGAGTACTTCGAAGACCTCCTCAATCCCACCAACACGCCGTCCAATGTGGAAGCAGAGTATGGGGACTTGGGTGTGGACTCCTCTATCTCTGGTGGCTGGGCTCTCCCTTAGAGATAGGGTGAGAAGCTTGGTCATTCGGGAGGGAGCTGCTGCTCCTCCGCATTGAGAGGAGCCAGATGAGGTGGCTCGGGCATCTAATCAGGATGCCTCCTGGACGCCTCCCTGGTGAGGTGTTCCGGGCATGTCCCACTGGGGGAGACCTCGGGGAAGACCCAGGACACGCTGGAGTCTCTCGGCTGGCCTGGGAACGCCTCGGGATTCCCCCAGAGGAGCTGGATGAAGTGGCCGGGGAGAGGGAAGTCTGGGTATCCCTGCTGAGACAGCTGCCCCCGTGACCCAACCTCAGATTAAGTGGGAGATGATGGATGGATGGATGGATAGATAAAGATGGAACATTGTCCCTGAAATTGTGAGAAGGCAAAGTAGGTAAGACATGCAAATGTGATTTTAAAAATGCCAAACAAGACACACAAGAGGCATGCAAATATTAATATCTGCATTGCCCAGAAAACACAGTATAAACCCTAAGCAGTGTAGAGTTTACTTTTGGCTCTGATGTTTTCAGTTGTTATAGATTCTGTTTTCTGGTGAAATACTCACTAATTTTGTGAGAGGGTCGCTTGATTGCTGGATTTGGAATTTCCCAGAAAAGATAACAGATCTTTGATTCATTGGATTACAGCCCTGCAGTACACCACTGTTTATATCACTGGAAAATATACTGACATAAATCACCCTTCTCTCTTGGAAGTATTTTCTGACACATGGCATTGAATTCTTTTCCTGTAAATTTTAGCTAAATGTTGGCCTTAATTTATCTGCAAGAATGCGATTTAAATTCCTTAAAATCTATAATCAGATTCATACCTAAACCCCCCGAATGTTACGTATTTGCCATTTTCAATAGCACCTGTATACGTTCACTTACATTAATTACCAGGGCAGCTGCTATATATATAGTATAACTTTATATTCTTACTGACCCTTCATCAACAGAACAAACTGAATTATTTCAGTGATTTAGAAACGTATTCTACAGGAGTTTGGCCGCATGTGCCTGGGAAAGTGTAAGGTTTTTGTGGTAATTATGTGAAATTTCGAGGCAAACGTTGTTCCGATCGGTGCCCTAATTCACTGAACCCAAAACAAATGGAAATACGTTACAGCACCATTAAATGCACTAAAACAACAGCGCGCACATCTCGCGATGCCACAAGGTCCGCTCCATTATGGTTTATTGTGAGAGTTTTCCTAGTCTCGCGTGATTTCTTAAGTTTCCCACGCCTGTTGTTGTGGCGCTTGCCCTTTTCTCTCACTCTCTCTCCCCCGTCTTCCTCTGTCGCCCCCCTCTCCCTCCGTCCCCAGTCTGCGTGTTGTTGTCTCGTCGGCCCGTTGCTCTAGCAGGGCAAGGATCTCGCGAGTGTTGGAGTTTGGGTGAGAGTTTGTGGAAGATGGCGCCTGTTGTCACAGGGTAAGTCTGAGAGTCGGGGTTGGCGGTGGCGGCGGTGACTGTGGCAGCTGAGTTAAAGTGAAAATAGTTCAGCGAGGTTTAATTAACGGGTTTATGTTGGGTAAGGGCTACGAGGCCGCACCTTCTTTGTGTCCCCTGGGCAGTTTGTTGGCATCCCGTGGATCGCCGTTGAAACGCCTTGCCCCGCTGCGGCTCTCAGCACGGAGCCGTCCGCTCTCCTGCTTCGCTCGGGGTCCAGCCTGGCTAGCTCTAGGATCACTGTGCCTCGCCAGACAACGACGCGAGTACAATAAGTACGCTAGGAAATGAACACACCCTCCCCTTTTTGTTTCTTTTTAACTAAGTTACAAATAACCGATCATACACAAAGTGTTAGGGTTAGGTTTTTAAAAACGTCATAACAGGGTCCGTTTAACTTAGGCTGCTATTGTGCCTCCTTCTTGGTCTCTGTGTTTTCGGTAAAAGTTTGCCTGTGCGCGCTTCGCTTACTGCTAGCTGCTTAGCTAGTTAGCCGCGCTCCCGTGGCCAGCACTGGTACCGGAGGCGTCTGCATACGCGCGTGTGGACTGCTACACGCCGACGTGCACCGTCGTGTACCGGACAGCACCGTGTCCGTGCGTAGCTCCAAAACCGACGAACATTTATTCGACTCGAGGGGGAACAGTTAAGGACATGAACAGCTTCTCTTCCAGAAAGATGTTTAGCCGCGCATGAAGGACGGGATTGAAATGTTAACTAAAACTAATTGCTAGTTATCATACAGTATTCATAAGGACTTATTTACTGTTTCAGTATATTGAAATTAAGGCTTATGATTAATTAACTCTATTTTTTTTACTTTGAGGTGTTCAGGTTTGTACACAATTTTGTAGCTTATCTTGCTCTTGTGTAATGTGAAACGAAATACGTAAGCGAACTAGGCTCTCTTATTCATAATTAACTTCGTTTTATAATTGTCTTAAATTTATAGTAATCTCGCTTCCGGTTACATCGACTTAAATTTGTGTGTGCTATTTCCTTATTCTTTAGGGTGTAGTGTTAAAAATGTTAACTCAGCCTTTATGCTTTGTGATCCATGTGGTCCATTGATCTTTTTCCGTTTGGTGAAAACGTGCTTGGGTTTTACAAAAACGTTTTGTGTGATATTTTGTGTGATTGTTTGCACGGTTTTTTTGTTATAGTAGGAATGGTTAGTTATGCTGAAAATAATGACTCAAAAATAACTGGAAGAACAAAGTTTAAAAAAATTATATAAACTGTAAATTCAGTTAATCTTTCTGTTTTTGTAGTTTTCAGAGTCTAAATAGCTACCCAAGTGGGACATGAGCAGAGTGTGTAAATACAAATAGAGGTGGAGATGGCAAGAATCAGTTGTGATCTTTCAACTCTGATAGTGCTTCCATACCATAGTTTGACTGATCCAGCGGGTCCTTAGCTCTTGCAAGAAAGAGTTGGCTTAGCTGTAGTACATGTCCTCTGATAGCAAATCTTTGTCAATTCATAACTGGTAGTGCTTTCATTACACTAGTGTCTATCACTTTAGCCAGATATGTGTAGCTCGTGTGGCTGGTTAAGTTTCCAGTTCTGTTGCTCCATTGCACCTAAAGATCCTTGGGGTACCATCCTGCGTTAGCTGCATTTCATTCAAATCAGAGTAGTAGTTCCCAGGGTTACACTCATTTTAGATTCAGTTGTTAGTTCTTTGTTGTTTTGCTTAGGTCAGATGAGGTTATTGCATATTTTATCTGTCATTACATATTGTCATGGCTCTGGGCATCTTGGGTGAGTCTACCACTGATGTCACATCTATTTCCAAGAAAATGCCCTCCAGTGATGTTTTTCTTAATATAGTGAGTCCTGTCTTGTAAATGTTATTTTTGTTTCCTCTTTTGCAGAACTTTTTTGCAGTCCATACCCCAGCCACAAAACATCAAACCTGAGATGATAGGCCATAGCTGTTGTAAAATATACCCATAATTCTAAAAGTTTGATCAAGTAAAGTTGTTTGATTAAAGCAAAACAAATACATATTCTAGAATGAGACCAGGTGAAGTTCAACTCCTATATCTTTGTTATAAAATAATTTTCCTTTTAACTTAATGTTAAAGAGAGTTTTATATTTTTGTGTGGCTATATGGCTGTATAATATTGTCAAAGTAAAGAAAAAGTAGAGAAAAGTAGAGAAAAGTATGATTCCACATGTTACCAAGCAGTCTAGCTCCATTTAACAACACCCCATAAATATTCTACAGCTGGACCTTTACATCTGCATATTCATCAGATTTGTTTCATGCCGATGATAATTCACAAGCATACAGCTGTCAAGCAACTGGGAACCTATACTGGATGCTCCTAGTCCTTGACTGTGAGTTGGAATGGGAGAAAGATAACTTACAAGACTGAGTAATTCAACTCCACCCATCCAACTGTTTATCGCCTTAAATGTAGTGATGAGAAAGTCTTTAGTTTGTCGTCTTTGGGTTGCTTTCAGTGCACATCAAACAGGACTGAGAAGTTAGTCTGTAGGAACAGTGCCTTACCTACAGTGATGAATCCATGACTCACTTGATTCAACATTGCATACAGCCTTGGCCTAAGGATATGTTACTTATTTATATGTCAGGCTTGTAAGGATCCTGGAGTGCGTGTAGGATTCAACATAAAGGAAGCCTTTGTTTTTTATTGTGGAGTTATGTCGTAGTATTACTAGAAAGTAGTGAACCTGGCTTCTTCAGTGGGACTTTAAATTAATTATGTTGTGAATTATTGCAAGTCACTTGGAATAAAACTTAAATGATACTGAATGTGTTTGAGGGGGTGGAGGGGCTCCTCTTGGAATCCTTGTTAATATGCTATATTTTTCAGCCTTTTGTAGTCTTGACATCTAGGGATGTAAAAGAGAAGCCAGTATCCCCTTGTCATTTATTAAAGAAGGGATGCGAGAGGCAGCTTTTCACAGCTTTTTTTTTTTTTGTAGTTCTGGCATTTTTCAGCCTTTTAAATGTGGGGAGTTTTTCAGGTAAATGTGACTGTCTATGGACAGATGACATACTGTGAAAGGAGAAACTTGTCGTTTGCTTGTATAGGAAATGAAAATGTGAAGATGTGTGTTTCTACAGTTGCTTCCGTTTCATTTGGTTTCACCCTGTTTGTATCTGTGCTGCAATGCTGATGACTTGTTTAATATGTTTAGTTCTTTCGGATAAATTTGTGCAGCTTCAGCATTATCAGCTTAATACATAGCTTTATTGAATAAGATTGAATATTGGATGAAAAAACAGCGTCATTCAAAAATTAGACACAAAGCCAGTTGATGTAGTAAATTTGCTGTGTAATATCCATCCATCCATCCCTGCATCAATCCATCTAGTTCCCATAACAATTTATCCCGCTCACTGCCATGGGGGGGGGTCTGGAGGCTATGGGCACAAAATGGGGAACAACCCAGGATAAGTGACCAACCCATTGCAGGGCACACTCACCCACCATTCACTTGCACATGCACACCTTCGGGCAATTTGGCAGCCCCAGTTAACCTCAGCATGGTTTTGGACTGTGGGGGGGAAACTGGAATACCCAGAGGAAACCCGACAATGACACAGGGATAACATGAAAACTCCAAACACAAGCACCCCTGGCAGAGACTCGAATCCTGGTCCCAGAGCTGGGAGGTAACAGTGCAAACAATGCACCGCTGCAACCACGTGCCATCTCCAGTTTAATTACTTTTGACAGATAACTTCCATTGTGTTGTTTGCAATACAGTAATCCAGTCAGTTTTCAATTTTGAAGTTGCTTATGTTAATATTTCCAAAGGACCTTTCAGCGCTGGAAAAACTGAGATAAACTAGTTGCACGTGCTGTCTTACCTAGTGGTTTTAGAATCAGGTCTGTGAAATGTATTTGCAAGTGTATGCCAGTAATCTGAACTGCAATATCATGCCTTGACTTCATTTAAGTCACTCACCATTTAATGATGATGTAATATATCACAACACACCCATTTAGTAAGTAGAGGTGCACCGATCTATACCTGTTAGATGGATCAGGTATCGCCATATGTGATTCATTCACGTCTTATACTTTTTTAGTTTTTGGCAGTTTGTAAAAAGAGGGCTCCTATTTCTTCTTGTATTGATTTGCACAATCGCACGACAGCTCTTCTCCCATTTTAAATGTACCCCACCCCACCCACCCCACATCGCAATCAAGCTGAACACTAATGCTGCCACTTAGTGGGTGTGAGCACAGTGACTTCTGCCTGCTGTGATGTCATGTGCATACCCTTTGCAGTACGAATAGTGTAAGAACATCAGAAAAGAGGGTATGGAACTCGCATCGGGGTGGAACTCTGCCATGCCTCATAGAGAGCAGAGGAGAATTGTAAAGGCGCGACCGTGTAGTGACAATCACAAGCTGTTGTGTAAATAAGATAAATAACATAAGACTATTTAGTTTAATAAAAGGACAATGTTCTATAGGAAAGGTAACCTTAAATGACTTCTGTTGTGATCTGGTGCCATATAGAAAATAAAATTAAATGAAATTAACTTGACCTTCAAGAGGGGGCGGTAGGTGCTGTTGGGGGGGCGGAGCACCCCCCTAATATAATGGTAGGGGAAACACTGTTGCGATACATGAGGGGCTGCTATTGCAATGAAGCGCAAGTGACACTTTTGCCAGTGTGAGAAAAATTAGGGGGCATTTTAAGCATTCGCCACTTGTGTACTTATAAGATTGAACTGCAAATGCCTGAAACACAAGATGTACAACCTAGGTGGAACAGTATGTTATGTGTGTTTCTAGTAGCCTAATTAAAGATTTTTTGGCATACATTATTTCATGTACTTAATGTAATTTATTTTTTAATTGTATCAATCAGAATCAGATTGTAACTGAAAAAATGTGGATCGGCCCATTCCTTGCGGATAGCACCTTGGAATGGCTCTGTTGTGAAAGGTGCTATATAAAAAGAAATTGAATTTAAATTTAACACCTAA